AAGTGGAAAGATTATTTGTTTACAGCCCATTATACCTCCATTCTCTACAGCAATTCCCAGGCTTGCTTGTTTGTTTACTTTTTTTTTTTTAAACAAGGCAACATTATGGGATGTTTTGCTTTTCAGGAAGCACTTTGGATTTCCTCATAACTGGAGGCATCGGAGCAGAGTTGCAACTCTGCTGTCAGAAAATCTTGGGACCACAGTGTACAAACAAGTCAGGACCCACTACAACAAAAACGTCCCAGTTTGGGGGCTTTTTTTTTTCAATCTCTTGGAATGGGTCTTTCTCCAAGGCATTTGTTTGTGTGCTCTCCCACAAAGCTTATTTGATTTGATGACCGGCCTTCGGGTTTGCCATACTTGATTTTAAAGGTGCTCTTTATATCAGCAACTTCATCCTTCTTCTAGGTCTGATTCAGTATTAAGCAGTGAGTTAGCCCTTGTAATCAATTCACAAAGTTTATATAACAGAGACTGATGTACATGCGCTCACAGATATATAGCCACTGAATATAATTTGTAATAAAGCCTACATTTCTGAATGACTATAAAACTTTAATCCTTTTCATATTTAATATTTACTCTTCCTTTTATCACAGAAACACAATGAAGCTGATTGCTTAGATACTGATGGCATTATAGTCTGTCTGTACTCTGTCCTGGCTTTTTTTTTTTTCTTTAACTCTGTGCATTTACACATGAATGGGCCATTGGTTCTAAATGGCAAGAAGATCACAGTGAATTATATTCACTTTAGTGATACGGTGTCAAATTCAATCTAGTATAAAATTCCACATCTTTTCAAACGGAGGAAGCCATTTTAATTTGTATCATCAGTAGCTGAACTTTTCCTTTCATCTTTTCAGTGACAGCACAACCAGGCAGGACTGGGAACTTCCTACACAAAGTCCAACCTGAAAGCCAAAGTCATCCTGAAAACCCCCTGTATTAGGGGAATCACTTCTGTAAAAAATTTGTAATCCGGTGCCACTTTAACATTCTTTTTGGTGTCAGAAACCAAATGGAGAGAAAAAATGATGTGTTTAACTGCAGATAAAATCAAGAGAAGTTGTTACTCAGAGCCGCACTGAAGTAATTATTGGTGACATTTAGCATTTCGGTAATAGGTCTGTGTTGGTAGGGATGGTAGTTGTGATTCAACACTGATTTAGCTCTATTGATTATTTATGTGTGTTTGAGCACCTCTAAACTTCATGTGCGAGATTGATATCTTGTTAATGATGTGGTTGCGGAGACACCATCCCTGTCCCAGAGATTTCATCGATTGATTTTGAATCCATTGAAAGAACTGAAATATGAGTTGGAGTTAACACCTATATAATCAAATTGAAAGTAATGGGCTGTGTTTGTACTTAAAGTGAAATGCATGTATGGACTTTTATCTAACAGGACATTTAGGGAAAAGAGAGATAAAGGGTGCACAGGACTTTTCTAACAGCAGCGTGCTGTATAAAATTCTGTCTGGAAAACCAAGTTGTGCTCTGGATCCCTTCTGCCGCACAGAAGGTAACGAGTGCCCGGTTATTGCACAACTAAGATTGTACTGACAGGAACATTCTGTACAATTTCTCTGGTGCTTTCTAAATTTTTAAAATTCAAAATTTAAAAATTTGCTAAGAGCATTTCAGATAATGGTTTGATCCGCTTGAGTGGAACAGCGTGGATGGCTGCAGATCACAGCTATAAAGATGTAAATTGCTTAAATTAAATAAAAAGCTTGAAGAAGTGCTCACTCTTTTCCGAGCAGCTAATTTGGCGTTTGCTGTGACAGTAAAATGATGCGTGAGAAGGAATGGGTTTGCTGGAGAAATTTGGCTGGAGAAAGCAGGCAAAGGATTTTGGTGGGGGAGGAAGTGATGTGTGGGAGAGCAAGGAGATGAGAGCCATGCTGTAATTATAACTGTAGCCATCAGTATATCCCCTTACAACTCTGGGGGTGAATGAAACTGGTCCAGTTAGGTGCATGTAGGGATGGATTTTGCCCATATTACGCAGGTGTTACCTGCTTCACTAAGGCTTAGTTGCTACCACAGCATGGACCTTGGCCCAGGAGGAGAAGCGACAGGAAGGTAACGTCCACAGTGCACGAGGTGCGGAGGTCCATCTCTGCGTGTTTACATATCTGTGCAACCAATCCTTCCCGCCACCCATGCCTATCTCCCTCCGGTGAACTTTGTCTAGTGCTTTTGGGAATGTGTCAGTCCTGTGGCTCCACACAGGAGAAAGCAGAAGCCATTTTTGTGTGCAAATATGATTTGAAAGTAATTTGTGGTCTAGCGAGAGCTGCTGTGGCGTAGTATCAAGTGCTTTCCCCGAGTGCTTGCTGTGTAACCTGCGATCATATCGATTTTAGATACTGGCCGTAATGCTTTGCAGACTTGTTAGGGAAATAAATTAAAAAAGAAAAAGGCTGAAAAGTGCTAAAAGCAGCTGCGTTGTGAGCTTTGCTTCATTTTCAGACCTGTTTTGTGAAGGAGTTTAACGTTTGAGAGAATAATGTTCTCGCTTATCGAGATTGCTGAAGTTTCAAAAAAGAATGCTACAGTTCTCCTGAAAAAGGATCCCGAACCCCAACAATGCCAATGTTTACGGTTTTAGTGTCTTTTCAATTTGTTACTATAATTATGTATATTTTCAGTGGTAAGTTACAGAACATTAGATGCAGATTAAAGGACAAAATGAACTCTGACTTTCATTTTTTAATGGAATTATTGATCTAGGTTGTTTGAAATATGTCCATTAATCTACTAGAACAGAATATTCATTAAAAATTCTGAATTTTAATCCTCTTCTTTTTATCTTCATTTAAGTGTCAGGACAAGGTGATTTATCTTGAAAACAAAACTTTAACAGTAAAATTACATTGTGACACTGTATCTCCAGAAGTAATACATCAAACACAAATAGCATGCAAATTTGTCTTGTGCCTGCAACTTCATTATCTGTGAAAATGCCTAAAAAGTTTATATGCTCTTAACAGCTAAGGACTAACCAGTAAGGACTGAGAGACTTTCTATTTTTACACGCTTTAGAACATCTCTCTATTATCTTCTTCAAAACATTCTGGACAACACCTTTAATTATAATTGTCTTACAGTGATTGTCTTAGCGTATAGTTGAGAAATGTTGATGACGCTTCAGTTGTAGTATTAAAAATCCTAGTGATTATCTGTACTATTATAAGACAGTTACATTTCCTTTATATCTATAAAAATGTTTAAAAATAGGAAACTAAGGTACTTCTGTCTGTTCAGATCTTGAGTATAATGAACATTAAAAGTGCTAAATATGTAACGGGCATTTGTGTCGTCTGAGATGATGCGGTGAATGGGGTGTAATACAGGCGACCCTTCTGTTTTGGATAACAAAGATGCCTGATACTCATTTGGCCAGGCTAACACGGACGTATTTCATGCTGCACTGTAAGAAATGACCTAACAGAACGTTATTGGATAACAACATTAACGATGCACTCAGGATTTATGTTAATATAATGGAAAACATGATTTTGCTCGTCATTGCAATATGCATGACTGGGAAAAAATATTTACTGAACTCACCACATTTATTAAAACCCTTTTCTAACAGTAAAAGTTGAAGAATTTGAATGACTTGCTGTTCTTTATACTACAATTATTCTAATTTCTGCTTCAAATGGAGTTTCCATACCTGGATGCAATACGGATGCAAAATGCTACGTCACAGCCAGAGCTTTCTCTGGGGCATTGAATGATCCTGACAGGCTCTGATTTAGCCTTTGGCTGCTGTTTATTTTGTCACTTGTGCTCATTTCTTCTGGTATAAGCGTTGTTGTAGTGTCTAGATAATTTTAGGAAAGAACTCTATTTTTGAATTAAAGAAACACACAAAACAGAACCTTTCAGAATGTATTTCAAGGACCAAGACGATTAAGTCATATTAGGCCACCATGAATTTATAAGCTACGTTCTTATGTTATTCACAGCTGGTGCTGTTCAGCATCTCTAGAGGAACACAAAATTGGCATATTATGTGCTGTTTAAGACTGCTGGAACTCTAAATGGGGACTCCTTTTGGTGGAGGTGATTTTTCTACAAAAATTGGTCTCTCTAATTGTAGAGGCGCTGTAAGAAAAGACACAGGTTTCACAGAATCACAGAATAGTTGAGGTTGTAAGGGACCTCTGGAGATCATCTAGTCTGACCCCCCCTGCGCAAGCAGGGTCACCTAGAGCACGTTGTTCAGGATTGTGTCTAGACAGCTTTTGAACATCTCCAAGGAAGGAGACTCCACTACCTCTCTGGGCAACCTGTGCCAGTGCTCTGTCACCCTCACAGGAAGGAAGTTCTTCCTCATGTTCAGACGGAACTTCCTGTGTTTCGGTTTGTGCCCGTTGCCTCTTGTCCTGTCACTGGGCGCCACGGAGAAGAGTCTGGCCCCATCCTCTTGACACCTTCCCTTCAGATACTTGGACACATTGATGAGGTCCCCCCTCAGTGTTCTCTTCTCCAGGCTGAAGAGTCCCAGGTCTCTCAGCCTTTCCTCAGAGGAGAGACGCTCCAGTCCCTTCATCATCTTAGTAGCCCTCCTCTGGACTCGTTCCTGGAGCTCCATGTGTCTCTTGTCCTGGGGAGCCCAGCACTGGACACAGTACTCCAGGTGAGGCCTCCCCAGGGCTGAGGAGAGGGGCAGGATCACCTCCCTCGACCTGCTAGCAACGCTCACCCTAACGCACCCCAGGATCCCATTGGCCTTCTCGGCCACAAGGGCACACTGCTGGCTCGTGGTCACCTTGTTGTCTACCAGGACTCCCAGGTCCTTCTCTGCAGAGCTGCGTTGCAGTAGCTTTCCAGCTGCCCCCAGCCTGTACTGCTGCATGGGGTTATTCGTCCCTAGGTGCAGGACGCTGCCTTTGCCTTTGTGGAACTTCAGGAGGTTCCTCTCTGCCCATCTTTCCAACCTGTCTGGACAAAAATATCCATTTCTCCTTGTTTCAGCTTCTGTGTCTCAACAGCGGATGGGAAAAATCTGGAGGAGCTTCCATTAGTGGACATCAGCAACAGATATTGGCTCTGCTGAAGATACTGTGAACTCTTTCGCAGCTAGTACAGACAGCTTGTGTTTTAACGGCTACGAGGAGGTAAGAGATTATTATAACTGAATATAACAATTCAGAAATATATTAAATGCTAGCTATGTGCCACAATTTTCCTGAGCTTGCTAATGCTAGAAGAACTTTTTCTTTGTTAGCATTCAGCTGACAAGCAATATGGCAAATAGGAAGAAACAGATTTAGAAGGCAAGCCCTAGGAGAAAATACGAGATGTGTTATATATCAATTATATGCCGCCTAATAATGCCAGTTTTTTAATTGCTTCAAAATGTGGACGCATTTGCGTTATTAGGTTGGAGCCATATGTTTCTTTATGGGACCTGACAATCAGTAGACTTGTTTGTGACGTACCCCATTGTAAAAAATGAAGCAAACGGTTCTGCTTATCATTTATTCGTAAGCGTTTCTTGTAGAAGATTTGATTAGCTGTCTTTCTGTTTCTCAGTGAATTTTGATTAGATTTTTTTAAAGTATAAAGTTCAGTATTTCCACCCAACAGTTCAAGGCACAGTATGTGCAGTGCTGTATGTTGTGTTTCTCCAAGCGATTCATTTTCAAATCTCAATGAATTTTTCATTTGCCTGCCAGTTTCTTGAAACTCTGAAGGCAAGAAAAAAATTTCTCCCTACTCTGGACAGCATGGGTATAGATTGAAATATCTTATTATGGGGAAGTAAGAACTTTAATAGTCGTTTGATCAAGAATGACCCAAATCTTCCTTGAGGGGAACCCCTTGGTATTCTTCATTATTTATATTCTTGAAAGAGAGAAGAGAGAGGATGAGCAAGATGGTTCATAGAAACATTTTTTTTTAAATTCTGAACGTTGATCCACGTTCTAGGTATACCAGCCTTTCTCCTCAGATTGGTTAAGAATTAACACCGTTCACAGAAAGTAGTATCGTAGTTGTTTCGGAAGACATCCACTGTGAGAACATACCTTTGTTTAGGGGAAAAAAACCCATCTCCAGAAATGGTCTCTCTGAAGAATTAGGACTGTGGAGTACAGTGTATATAGTATAGACTATTTATTTTCTGGTAAGTTTAGTTAGTTTGGGGCCTCATTCTACATGTGAAAAATTGTAGAGTTGCAGGGACTTGTGCTTTAAGTGCTCGAAGGCACTAGCTGTAATTGCCAGTGATATTCACGGTGAATGGACGCGTTTATGAACAGGTGCACATCATAATGAAGTGGGTTTTCGGCTAGATCTTGAACTCCTGTGATCCTGCCTGTTCAAATTATGTTGTTGGTTAATAGGTTATTTTATTGTTATGGCTGTTTAAATATGTACTTAATCAAAGTATAGAAAGCTTAACCTATCAAGCTCAAATGAAGAGTAAATCTTGCTTGGGGCACCCCTTGGTTGGGCAGAATAATTTATTCTGCAGCTCACATGGTGTTGCAGTTTTTAGTATACTGACAGCTATGGCCTTCTGCTCAGCTAAGGTAGGGCTGGGGTTTGAACCCTGCTAACAACTTTTATGCGGTCATGACTTCATGCCTAGCTTCTCAAACCATTCTGCACAGATTAACTAAAATCAGTAAACTCTTAAAAAGGTAGTAATTATGCAAGAAATATCAATAAATTATGCATGTGAATAAATATATTAAATGAAACCACTTTAGATGAGAAGCAGGCCAATTAACGATGTGTGTGCTGTGCAGCAGTGCAGTTCTCTGAACACAGATAGCGTTTGAGATCTACATCCATAATAAACAATGCAGTCTGCTACATTTTAAGTCAATGGATTTGCATTCGTTTGTTTATCATTTTCTGTTGAAGAGTCAATCTCATTTTCTGATGTTTGAACAAGCTCATAGTACAATATGTAAACATTACAAAATTTAATCAGATGACGTTAGATTTGCTGAAGTAAACAAACCTCGGTTATAATCACAGGATATTATGGATTTCCTATCAATTCTATAATTTAAATTTAGTTAAATTTTGTGGAGCTCATTATGGAAAAGTAGATGGTGATTTATTCTATAAAAGGTTATCTGAGCTTAGGACAAAACCCTAACTGGGTAGCTGGTATCTTGTGAGAAAATCATAAGAAATTAGGCATATTGCTGACATGCACCAAGTGTATTCATCGCACATCAGGCCAACTTCCAGTGCAGATTTTGTATTGATTCTAGCTTAAAAGCAGACAGATAGCAATGCTCTTTTTCAGATGGTCATAGAAAACAAGATTGGAAGGTACTTTGAGAGGTCTTATAACGTTTCCCAAATTTTTAACAGAGATTTAAGTCTTCACCTTTGTAACTTTTCTCACAATTAGACATTTTCCCCAACTCTGTTCATGCAACTTAAGACTATTAACGTCCTACTGTCTTATCAGTAGATATGGGGAGCAGTTTAGCGCCTGACTCTCTCCGTCTTCAGTCAACAGCAGTAGCTGTTTGTTAGTAACTGTGTTTATCAGTAACTATATTTACCTGACTACAAAGTAAAAAGGGCTAGCAAGAGAAATGGTCTAAATCTGAAGGTATGGACAGATGAAAAGGGTATTCAAGCAAATGTTTCCACGTGCCTTGAAATGCCAGCCTGACGCACCAAGGGCAGCAGGCTGCCCTCGTCCCAGTAGGGACGTCCCCTTGGACGTCATCGTGGGTTTGTCTGCAGGAAAGTTTCCAGTCAGCTGAGTTTCTCTGCCTTCTCTTGGAGGGCCGGATGAGATGTGAGTGAGGGTTTTTTTTTCATATGACTAGATTTGAAAAATAAACAGAGGGCTAAGAAGCTATCTCAGTGGTGTTGGTCTGTTGACGAGGCTGTACGGGATTAGCTGTGAATTATGCGGAGGTTCAGGCTCCATGTCTAGCTGAGGAAGTGAAAAGGGCAGTGGGAAGCATAGGGAAGTGGGAATTTTTCTTCTGTGTGGGGCTTTCCCATTAAACCCTCCAGAAAAACCTTTAGAAGCACTTGGCAAGAAAACCTGTTTCTATCCTATCAAAATACTTGATTATTAAAAAAAAAAATTCTCATTCCACACTCTTATGAGATAGAAAGGGAAAAATCAACTTGCTGTAAAAAAAAAAAAACTTTAAGATCATTTTCTCCAGTGGGCCGGAGCAATGGACTGATTGCAGAAGGCACAGTCCCCTGCTAGGCACCTGTCAGAGATGTGGGAACCAAACTTCAGCTCTGTGGTTTGCTTTAGGCACAGGGATTTCCTTAGATACCAGGGGAATGTCTTGATTACCATCAGACACGTCTCTGTCTTGTGCCTTGGGGCTGTTACCCCTTCTGGAAAATCCCAGTGCCCGTGCGTGCTGATCGAGGCTAGGGGCCTCGGTGGAGCCACGCTGCACTTTGCTGAGTGTCCTGCACTTTAGAGCTGTGTTGGCAGCGATGGTATGTGTCAGTGGTCACTGATGTGCAGGGGTAGTGTGGGAAGCAGTGAGGAAGGAGTTAAAATAAATAACAAGTGCTTTTCTTGGAAATTGTACATTCAGAGACAATATTAATAATTTCTAAGTATCCACATGGGAATTTAAAGTTTATCCTAAGTGCAGTGAAGGAAAAAAGCCTCAATGGCCCTATTACATATGCTGAAATGCTATCGGTGTGACATTTGATTGAGGAGAAGAGAGTGGCTTTAAAAAGAATATTTCATTTGGCTCCCTCTGCAATGAAGAATGGGGAATGAGGGTAAAACAAATGGAACTAAAATAGAAATGCAAGGATCTGATTTATGTGGTGGCATAGAAAAGCATAAATTCTTTCTGAGATACTGAAAAAGCTTTGCGGTTCCAGACACTAAAAGTGAACTATTCTTGCCCCAATTTTGCTGTTATATAAGTTTTAATACGAAGTTGCCCCTGGAACGTTCCCAAAGTGATCAGGGCTTGTGCCTGTGTAATGCAAAACAGAAGTGGGCTGTTCATCATTATCCTGAGAAGAAGTATATTTTAATGGTAGGCTGATCTTTCTGCATATTATATAAAGTTCCATTTTTCACGAATCGGAAATATGAAAATGTTCCATTAAATGAGACACTGAAAAATTTAACCCATTTTCGGAGAAGAATAAACACTTAAAAGACAAAAATAACAGTTTAAAAAAAAAAAAAGGGAAGAAGATCCAGCAGATTTCATCACTGGGAATTAAGATGATCCCTTTAAAGTGACCAATGGTCTGTGGGAACTCAAGTATTGAGGGCTTTTTATTCTTAAAATGATTATTATTAGGTACAGTGTGATGGTATTTAACTGCTGTATCCTGACAGATATGCTGTAATACACACTAGCCTCCTTTCCTGCTTGGGAAAGGAGAAAGCGAGAGCAGGAAGCTTGAGACGGACGCGAGGTCGTTGCTGCGAACGGCAGCAGCTGGGGCTGGGAGAGCGCTGGCCGTCCCTCCGCGATGCTGCCCGGAGCCCCGCACCTGGCGTCTGCCACGTAACGTCTCCTCATCAGGAGATGGCAGCAAAATCTCACGAACCGTGACGTTAGCTCGCCGGCCTCTCAGCCGAGGCTGCTTTGACCTTGTCCTCCTTACTCTGCCGCCCCGAACGAAACCTTACTGGATCCTAATCCAACAAGAAGGCCGCATCCTTCTTGCGACGTCCTCAAGTTTATGTTGCAGTCTTCGGACTGGGGAAAAAAAAAAAATTCGGTGCCTGACCCTTAAGGCCCGGTGAGCCACGGGAGGGCTGGGCTCCCTTTGAGCGTGAGGAGCCGAAATGCAGGTGCCCGTGCACCTCGTCGGCCCCAGTCCCCAGCTGTCGCACTTTGGTCGAACACGCAAAGTTGCAGTTTTGCATCTTGGTGCCCGTTTCCCCTGCGCGGCCTTTGAATCGTGCTGCGGCGCTGCCTTGGTGGTGTGGGTCCAGCTGGAGCCAGCACCAAGGTGTTTTTGGATTTTTTGCTCTTGGCCTGAATATCTTTAATCTGTTCTTGGCTCCTAGTTGCTTTTTGGGACCTGAGCACTTATATTAGTGCTGAGGCTTTTCTAGACACGTTTGGTGGCAGGATGATGTCAGTCTGTCTATAGAAAGAGCATAAGCGTTGGCTTTACTCACTTCTCCTACAGCAAGCACCGCCTGCATTGCCCTGCATCTGCAGAAGTGGCATATGTTGACTTTTATACGTTTTAACAGAAAATAATATCTGTGTACACTTTTTGAAATGTTTAATAGCATCTTAAAAATAAAAGTGTGTACTTCATATAGGATTCATGATTTGCTCACAAAATTGCTTTTTTTTTTTTTTAAACCTGTAAGGCTTTTAGCATAACTTCAAAAATAAGCATTACATTTATACACAGCGTTGTGGGAGAGGCAATGTATTCCCTCTAAAGAAGTTTCTCTAATTTATGATCCATAATTAGAACACGACTTAATAATTACATGTCCTGCAAAGAAATGCTTCTTGAGCGGGGCTTTGTTCCTATGCAGCTGCTGGAAACGCAGACAAAGATTTGGATGATAAGAAATAGTTCAGCTGAAAATGCACTGGCGGGGGCAAAGTGTCTCCTGAAGTGATCAGAACTGCTGAATAATGAATGCTGTTTATCACGTGGACTGTACTGCACCGTACACGGTGCCTGAGAACACATCCATCCAACATACGCACAGCATGAGCCACTCTGGTTGCTAAAAAGTTACTAATTCTTGTGATTATGTAGTGAGATGTGTTTATATAGGAAAACTTAGCAAACGAAAGATGGACTGTGTTCTTATGGTTTGTCTTTCCTCTAGGGAACGCCATCACAGAAAGAACTAAAAATCTGAAATATTTTTCCTAGGGTTTCCTTCATATGCTTGAAGGGAGACGGGAAGACCTTTATCAGTTGTATTAACTTAAGGCTGATTCAGACTCATTTTGGCCTTAAATATGAGTAATTTTAGACTGACGTGATGTTGGGTTAAAATGCTTTCTTGAACTATAAGGTTTAGCTAAAGAAGCATACACTCATTTCATTAACTTTTTATTCTAGGCAATATTGTACTTTGGAAATGACTTAATTCATTTAAATTCATGGCAAAGGTTTTTTGGAAAACTGCCTGTGCTAGGAGATGCGTATAATACAGATACATATTTCCAGCTTGCAGTATATGATGGTGCATGAATTGATCGTATAAAAAGGCCTATTTCTTGGGAAGACCTTCAGAGAATGCTATGAAGTTACAATTTTATGGAAACGGGCAAAAAGTATGCTGCAGATTAGATTCAGTGGCTCCATATACGCTTCTCGGGGCTGAAACCCAGTAGGGTAAGAAAAACGTGCACGAAGCATGGAACTGGTAAAGGGCAAATAACTGACTTTAGAAAATTCAGCTGTTCTCATTTTTTACTGAACGGTAACTGAGCAAATTGTGATTGCCTTGAGTAACTCAAATGTACTTAAGTTTACCGTTATTTGCTGTCTAGATGAAGGGTGAACATTTCCATCCAATTTACCTGCAAACTCAATAATTGCGTTTGAACAGTGCTTTGTATTTTCTCTGAAGTCACAGTAGTCGTCTAAGATTTTTTTTAGCGCTGTTCATTTTTTCAGCTGAGATGCATTAGCACAGAAAGTAGTCGTGCAGATGCTTTGGGTTGCAAAAGGTGATCAGAAACTTGATTGACCGAATGCTTGCCAGAGATCGATGCGGGTTTGTTTGCAGCTGCACGGCTCAGCAGGCCACCTCACTGCGTAAGACAGAAAGCAGCTCAGCTGCAGTTTCCCAAGGCTGCTGTGTGCAAAGAGAAGCACACAGGAAATCCACTTGAAGGAATACTCCTTAAATGTGATCTGAAATATTAATGCAACCTCATTTTCAGATGGCAGGCCTAGCTTGAACAAAGCCATATGTCGTACTCACAAGGGAGAAGAAGTTCAGTTTGAGTCTGGAAGCCTCTGACAATGTGGAGAAAATTGACCTCCAGAGGTGAGTCCGGTCCCGGGTCGCGGTAGTTCCTGCCTCTACTCGACTGGATCTTGCAAAAGGAGTGATACAGAGAAGAGAATCAGGGTTGTGTCCTGGTATCAGATCATGTGCCAAGGAGTCAAAATCTGTACATGTTGCTGTACCTTTTCCTGCACTGCAAAGAGTTAAAATTGGGTTGTTGCTTTTCACTTAAATCAACTTAAAAGTGGTAAATTAGCCTCAATCTCCTTGGCACATGTCTGCATTGTTCTGCCTTCTTGGATGTCTGTCCATGGCTGTGATTGCCACCTCTGGCATGCAGCCTTCCCACCGCTCCTGGGGCTCCTCGTTATGAGGGACTGGGCATCCTTGTGCTGGTTTAGGTTTGCGTGAGGTTTAGCACTTTTATGTTTATCGCAGGGTTCGTCGTCTCAGACTTGTGTTTCAAGCCGTATGTCTGTCACCTTGAGGCAGTTTTTTGAAATAGGTTTGATATAATGGAAGCCACCTTTTGAAAGCTAGGCTCTTTTAAATTCCTGGATGAAGTTGCAGGTGAGTTGCAAGGATGGAAACGTTCGTGTCCGTAAATATCTCTGCACAACTGGTGTGTGAGAACATTTCTACAGAATCATGGTAAAATCCTGAGGGGCCCCATGTTCAAAGGAGGTGGCTGCTCCTCCTTCCTGACAGCTAAATTGCAGAGTGTCATGGTTAATTTTACATTCAGGACTTGGCTAACATTGCATTTCCATGTAAAAAATTGCTGTCTCTGCCCTAGGAATGTTAGAAAGGGGGCTGAGGCTATGTGCAATAGTCTAGGAATTATTTTATACCTTTCGCTGAACAAAACGAGTGATGAGTTGCTTGTCCCCAAAGGGATGATGAATATGAAACACCACAACGGAGGGGTTTGGTCCTGGGTGAGGATTGATGGATTTAGGCAACGCCTTTTCTTCTGCTGCAGTTGAGTTCTGTTCAAAAGCTTCCTATTAAGCAACTCACGTGTGAAAATTAATTGAGCTGCTTTACTTGCATTGGACTCATTTCCATATTTTACACTTTCTAAAGGAGTTAAATCCTAGTTGCTTTGGAAATCACAGCATAAGGCAGGGAAACTGCCAGGCAAATGTTAGTGTTACAGTTTCTGTTGAAATATTTCTTATTATTGTAATTGACCAAGAATTAGGATAATTTTTAATAGCAACATATGGCAATTACTACTGAAAATGTTTTTGAGATGCTTCTGATTTGCTTAAATCATTGCTGTAAGTGTTATAAAAACAATGTGAAATTCCACTGGAATTGAACTATTTATTTTTTTTCTACCAGCTAATTTCATGCAGCTTAAGTGAACTATTAAATTAATCACACCATATTTAAAGGGCAGAATTTGTATTGGTATGACCAGTGAATCATAACCAAAAATTGACTTTTTATAGCAGAAAGGATCAGAGAACACAAAGTATTAGTAAATGATCCATAAACCTATCTGTTATGTGAATGACAGCTGTAAATTTAAAACTCTCACTCTAGGATAATAAAAATATCCCATCCCACTGAACCCTCCTGGAAAAGTCATGACACTTGCTTATATTAGTGTGTAATTGCAGATGTTAATTAGTGCTAAGTGGCTGCTGTAGCATCCCTGAAACATGCTCTCCCGAGTTGTGTGCCCTCCAAGACTTGGTGCTGGAAGGGTTGGTTGTTATGTGTTTTTTTTTTTTTTTTATGGTGTGTGGTTTGTTTTTGACTAATTCAGCATAGTTATCTATCAGCTTAATCTGAAGTTACTTTAACATTAATGAGAATGTATCTGAGGAATTTGCTTTGGAGACTTTCCTTTCCAAGGCTCCTTGTTGCATGACAGCGAGTAGTTAACAATACCCAGGTAAATTACAGCAAGATGTATCTTATCTAATATAATAACCATGAACTCCTTATATTCCAATGTAAATTCAGAAGCTATTGTTAATTATCCCTTTTATTTTCATAAGCTGATGGTGGCAGCAGCATGAGATGTACTACTGTTCATGGCTCTTCCAATGACTTACATCTGGTTTCAGTCAAAGCACTTAATGTGGCTGTGGCTTACCTGGAAAAGGGACCAGAACTGCTTTTCTTCATGACAGAGCTGGTGCCAGGCTTACTGAATTAATGTCTGAAAAGTGCTTAGAGTTCCTAGAATAAAAGATGCCTTGGCTGATTCAGTATTTGCCAGCACTTAATGCAAAAGATGTTTGAGATACTGTGAAATCCTAAGCGTCCTTCACAATTGAAGGGATAATTAATTATTTTTTTTTGAGATTGTGTAAGAACCAAGGGAGGATGGCAGTCTGAGTTTGTTTATTAGATACGGATTACCTGTATAAAACTGACTAATTACTATTATATCTGGGAGGTCGTGATAAATGATGCCTTCTTAGTGGCAAATCTTTTTGGTGGCCGTGCCCCATTACTGATGGGGAAAACCCTGTGGGGAGCTCCTCACTGAGCGACCCTGGTGGAGCTCCACTGCAGAGGTGAGATGGGCATCAGAACAGAAGGGAAAATAAAGTGTTTTACTTTGTTTTGGGCAGAAGCTGTTTCTGCAGATATGTGGCACCAGTGAAGCTCTTGCCTCTGTTGAGTTGACCAAGCATGTCAGGGGGACAGCGGCCTCCTGTGGCTTTCCCAGCAGGCGACAGACGTGCATGCTGCAGCACTGCTGGAAAAACACCTGGGTTTGCAGTATTTCTTGTTTCCTACAGCTCATGGGGAAATGGAGATGACAATGAAATGATCAAAATTTTAAAAAACGGGCGAGAGCGCTCAATTTTTGCCAGTCCATGCTCAAGAGCCATAGTAGGGCCAGCGTTCAAAGGGTCTGGGAACTGGATGCGGTTTTGCCCATTTTATTCTCTCAACCGGATACTGATAACTGCCAAAACAGTTTCCCCTCCCTCAACTTTCCTTCCTACCAAAAAAACAGGGCAAGTGCTTCTGTGACCAGCCTGCAGTGAGAGTTAAACAACTGAACACCTGGAAGAGGAAAGTAAGGAGGAAAATCAAACCTCAGCATTGGTAAGTGAGGGAAAACCAATATATACACAGCACCTTGTACACTGCGTGATGGGTGTTTCAGAGCCACTCTTCATTCTGCGCTCAAAAATGCGTCTGGTTTAGGCACAACCTGCAAGCCAGCCTGTAACCTTGTTCCTTGCTCTTCTTTCCTCAAAGTGGGTGTAGATACATGTTTGTGTACCTGTTCATATAAAGGAAACATTTTTACCAGTTTGAGAAATGGTCACATAATTCCATATTTTCACAAGTTTTCTTTTTCAATAACACGTGCTGCCTATTATTATTTCCGTGTTCTCCCTGCAATTTTGTCATCCTCAGTAACCTCCAAATTTCTGAGACTGTAAATCCTTCATTTATAATAAACTGAAAATGCAATGTTTCATGAATATAGATTTACAAATCTGTAATTAAGCTCCTAACACCAAGTGCTTGGGAGATATTAAAGAAGACAAGTACATGATTTTTTCCAAAGAGGTGGGACAATAAAATTAAGTTAAGGTGGCTTTCAGATTTCTTTCAGTAACCTTATTCAAACTTGTAAGTGTGCTCAGAATGGAAATGCATTATTATGGCCTTGAAGGGGGGCTGTAATATGGCTGGCCTTTTTTTTAATATCCCATGATTTGTGTGACTATAACAGCTCTCATTAGAAATGAAGCCAAGGTGCAGTACTGACCTGGCACAAAAAGGGATGGTAGAAACCTTCTCCAGGTTAAATTGCTGAAAGCTGGACAGGGGAGAGGATTTAGCCTGAAGCAACTTAGTGGTAGTTGCTGTTTGAGAACAACTGTTGTGGGTCTGACGTTTCCAGCCAACTCTCAAATTGTGTCATTGCTCTTCCCCATTATAACGCCAAGGTCTGTTCCCACCAAAGACATACTGTCAAATCTGATCATCAAATGTTCATTTCAATATCCTTATCAACCTACAGTATATTTTCTAATTCTTTAGTAAGATGGCATTCACGTTAACAGAACCCTGTGGAGCTAGAAAGGAGGAATATTATCCCTTTTGCAGAGAGCGGAGAGAGGCTAAGAGACTGCCTAAAAGGCACTTAGCAGGGCTTTCAGAAATGCTCTAGAGTCCAATTTCATTTGCAGTTTAGTGTAGGTTTTCATAGATTCAGGGCAGAGCAGACGTGCTCCTGAAGGCAGAAATGGAACGGCTTATGAAATTGTGACTCCTCACTGGAAATTCCTGAGATGTGTTAACGGAGCACGTAAACTCTCCTTGTCTGTTTCTATTAAGTACAAAAAAGAGATTAGATTAAACCCCTGCTGTAGGACAATAGCAACCACCTAATTTGAAACTACAAACAGCCCATGTACAGATTTTTCCATGCCAAAGCAGTACAGCAATGTCTAGGTGGTAAAGGCTATACTGTTAGTATAACTAGAAAAAGAAATATATGGAAGAGGGATACATTTTTCAAAGTGCTTTGTTTTCATGTTGTTTTGCTGTTATTATCCCACTCTGATGCTTAGGTGTGATCTGGCAGCGTTCCTTTAAAGTTTGTGATTCTTTTTGGCCAAACAGGCTTTTTAATTTTGCTCAAAACTCTTAAAACTGCGTCAGCAGAAAGTGGTCTTTAGTGTTTGCCTCCTTTATAGACCTGGGGAAATGCCAAAGTCTGTCACTTCCATTCTCTAGGTAAAGCTTTTGGCAGAGCCTAAGACTGAATAGTAAAATATTGAGTAATTGGCATTCTTAGGTGCAAGCGGAGATTCTTCATCAGTATGAGGCAGCTGCTCCTTCAGATGCTCATAGCACTTCTGAACAGGGAGGAACGATGAGTGGTTGGGGCTTAGTTTTGAGAAACTTGTGCAGATGTGTGGTGGGCAGCCAGCAGTTGGGTGCACATCTGGAAGGCAGCATTGTGTTATTTAACAAAGGGGACCAGGGGCTGTGCAATACAAACAAGCCGTGAATGTATGAACCAAATCCTGGATGAGAGAGGCTCCTTTCACAGGGCTGCATCCTACGCTGTTGCACCTACCAGTTCTCAAAATATCTTCTTCTAGCAAAGTTTAGTTTATGAAAGCAGTTGCCAAACGCCCTGCAAGAGCGAGTCAAGGTTTGTGTTCTGACTTTAGGACAGTTCCTGCCTTTGGAGCAGTCAAATGCAATACCTAGGTCATATGTTCAGAAGAACAGTCATGCTTATTGAAACTGAAAGATATAGCATTGTTTGCCTAATTTAATAACTCTATATAATTTGGGCTAGTCGATAGAAACGTTATGGGAAGCAATGAAGGGAAGTAAGATATGAGATGAGAAGGGTAATTATTAAGCGACTGTAGGAAGGATGGAAATTAATAAAAATTGTGGAGATCGAGTGTTTGCCATAAAAATGGGGGTAATTGGAAGGGAAGAGATGTGATGCTAAGGCTAGCAGAAGAGCACAGGGAAGGTGAGTGGTTTTTCTTGGGCTTGTAGCAGTTCTCCAGGACGTGCCACCACGGCACAACAGGACATGTCCCATGGGTACCTGAAGGCCCAGCATAGTTTAGGATGAAGATGAGATCATTTTGGCCAAGCCAAGTAATGAAAGAGAAAGCACAGGCATGAGAGAGACGAAAAGGAGGAGTACTGGTAAGTAGGAAAGAGTTTTATCCCCTCTATATTTTTGAAAATCATAACTGAACAATACGTGCTTTGAAATTCCTGGTTTCACAACAAAAATACAGCTAAACTGATTAAACACTGCTAGTGCTGCCCTTTGTCTCTGGTTTTCAGCATTATATCTCAAACATTTTTTCATTAAACTGTGAATGTAATGTCACTGGAGATGTTGATAGATTTGTTTGGACCAAGCCCCATTTCTTCTGAAATAATTTATTTGGACTCTAAATGCATAGGTGTTTTGCTGGTCAATTTGATATGTGATGTAGGAAAAACCATGTGCATTTTTGTCTGGGATTTTTGACTCTCTTAAAAAAAAAAAAAAAGGCATTTTAATATTTCAGGTGTTAATTAAGCATAATCTGCTCCTGAGCAGAAGAGCAGAATTTAGCAATTTTCCAATTTTTTTTGGGGGGGGGGAGGGGAATGTGCATAGCTGTTTTAACTGGAAGTCACAGCTATGAGTTGAATAATGTGTAAAATAAGTTTTTCATAGCCATCTTTAATCCTATCTTAAGAAAATGTCTAGAAGAGTTTGCCTTTGAGGACTAACTTTGTCCTTCAGGCTGAACTTTATTATTGAACCCTTTTCAAACTTCCATCGCTACCTTTGACACAGACTAACAGGGTTGTATCGATTTACCTAAGACTTTGATGCCCAGTTCTAATCTACATTCAGTTTCAAAAACACTGCATTAACAGGATATTTGTGATGTGACATCGACTTCCAAAGTGAGGCTGCAATGCCTCTGAAAAGGGCACTACAGCAAGCAGAATGTGGCTGGGGAAGACTCAAAGGGACTTGGTTGCTGCTGTCTGTTTCTGGAAGTCGTAGAAGAAATTTTGTGCAATGCTAGGCTATCAGAGGCCCAAAAGACTTGGGGTCCAGAGCTATTAGAGATCATTCCCTCTCCTTTACGGAGCAGGTTCTTCTCTCTAGGTGAATATGGCAGCCTGAAAAACACTGCCTGCCTTCTCTCCGAGAAGGAGAACTAGTAGGACACATTGTATCCTGGAGGAGTGTGGAATGACTAAAGCGCAAATACCATCTCAAAGAGCATCTTTGAGAAGTGGATAGATTTCCAAAGGGAGAAAATAGCCTATCCTTTTAAGTCTTAGGATTCTTGTCTCTTCTGCATAGTTCTGTATTTAAACAAATTTTTCAGTAACTGAGGATCTAGTCAAGGTGATTCACTGTTATGTGCACAGGAGACAGGTAGTTGCACATAGTCCAGCTCAGTTCAGCAATATCTGTGCTCTAGCCACTGCCTCAGTTGTAAGGGAAATCCTTCAGACTCCCTGGTGATGGACTAAAATGATGAGTCAATGTCCTAATAGACTATCTATGGGAAAACAATAGTGATACACCTGAAATGCCAAGACAAGGCAGAAGAAGAAAATGCATGGACAGTGTGGAGTGCCTAATAAGAGCATAGAAGAAAGCTCTTCAGTCTAAAGCACACTGCTGCACTGTTGCAATGAACATCTCGAAGGAGGAAGAACTGTAAAGCTTTGCAAATGACCGTTTAGCAGGGAAATATGGAGCATGTTTGGCCAAAATAGAAGTAAGACTGGAAATGGCAAAGTGGCAAAAAAACAAATTTCCTGCAAAAGTAACAAAACAACTTCAAATGCAAATGGAGACTGTCACATCTCCTGTCCTGCCGTCTTTTGGGGCAGGCTTCCTCACGTGGCACCTGCGAGTAATGCCTCCACCTTTCCGGCCTTATGTCCCACCCAAGCTGCCCTAGATTGCTGTGTTGCTGCTACCTTTGTTATATTTATTAAGTAGCAAGGTGGGAAGGTCTTGGGAAAATGCTGGGAGCGTTGTAAATTAATTAATGCTAGCACTGTGTGACATATGTACAAATACGTTTTTATACAGGGACACTGCCATGACCTAGTTAAATATGTTTCTGCACCAACCAGGGTGGTTTTTGCTGGTGTGTAAACTGTGTCTCCTGTCAGGATAATGCTCTTCACGAAAGCTTTGAAACAAATGGAGAGGGTTTTGAGGGTTTTTTTTTTTTTTTTTTTACCCCCCCTCCATTTGTTCAAACACAGGAAAAGTTTGGAGGGGAAAAGAGGGAGATTCCCAGTTGAGCAGCCTCAGCTCACGCTGCAGGTATCGACATACTGAGCTTATCCGTCGTCATAGTTCGTGGGAGAAGGTTTGCTCTCCAAGCCCTGAAGCAAGCAGTCTCTCTTGTGCTGCAGCCTGGCAGGCTGCTGTATTTTCAAGCAGACAGGTTATTCCTCCGAATCCCATACTTTAAATATAATTCCTTATGATGTAAAGGAAAACTTTCTTGTCTGCATCATTTTCAAATCTAGTTGAAAATTGCTCCGAGTTCAGCATGGGCTTTTTTCCTTCGTTTGAAGATCACTGACTGCACTGTCCTGGCCCTGACAGGAGAAGTGCTCACAGGCACGTCTAGGTAGGGCGGCCTAATTTCTGAAGGAGCTGCAGTCTGTATTTTACAGTAACCTGATACGCGTTACAGGGCTCCTAGGATGCTTACTTGTAGTAATTTACGTAGAAAATGGTTTTGAATTCATGAAGCGTACAGCACGTTTGGTCAAAGAAAAGATTTTTCAGACGGCATTTCTGAAAAATACAAGCCTAAGCCAGTTTGTTTTCCTTTTTATTTTGTAGTTTGTTTTTTTTTTAATTATGCCTTTTACAGTGGTTTGGGATTACATGCTACTATGCTTAACAGTTGGGTAGTACCTTTTTATGAGGTGTCAGGGAGGCTGTTCTCGGAGTAAAGGAGTATTCCCGTGGTATGTCCAGAGAGCCACTCTGGCTCTTAAAAACTGTCTTTCATTTCTCACGCTTTAATTGCATATGCTTTAGAGTGATTCAGTGTCAGATAGGAGACAAAAGGTGCTTTATAAATAAGTTATTTTTCTGTCAGGAGTTGAAAAACATTGATTTCACATCCAGTTATTAACACAGGGCCACATTGTGCAAATGAATTTTAAGCAGCACTGAATTTTGTATGTTGTTGTAATACAGATAGTGAAGAGAAGTTCTCTTAGGTAACGTTGCCTGCAGACGGTCATTGCAGTATTTTAGCAGGTTCCCCACTGCAGTTATTGGAGAATTCTGCTTATAAGTGAGGTAAAATACGGCCCAAGGAGATTTTATTTGTCTAATTAAAATCTGTTTTAAGATATAATCCAAATAGGCTATATTGGATATTAAAAATATCACTGTTAAGAAAAAGTCAGTATCATACTGACCAGTGCCCCAGCAGTGCTTTCTAGGCTGTGGCTCAGTCGAGTGCTGCACTCTTACTCTTAGACGTTATGCTTGGAAGTGAGCCAGGTAACATAAGTAAAATAGAAAGTCGGGGCGCCTCCAGTCAGGATGCTGTATGCTGTTCATTTGCAGTGGCTAATGAAGGTCCAAAGACAGACTGGTTATAAAATAATGAGTCATTAATATGTCTGGGTGTTTTACTAAAAGAAAAAGAAATTCGATACATTTTCAACCCCAAATCTGTAAAGTTTTCTGTTGTTAAAATTCAGTAAACCAAATCCGTGGTGTGACTCAGAAAACTGAAAGAAACTGGAAGCCTAGGAAGAGATTAGGATTTATTGGGTGGTTGGCGTTTTGGACATAGCAGTAGTTGCGAGGTCCAGAGATCCCACCCATGCTCTCTTCCGTCTGTGGAGAAACATATGACTCCAACCTGTAGGAAGGGAGCTCCAAGCACAAAAAAGGTCATGTCAGTCCAAAGAAAACCAGTGGCTATCGCATTACTTCCCAGCTCTCCTCCTAGGAACTTTGGCAGTTTTGCAGCTCAGAACGACACCAACTTCACATGATGAGTGACAAATACTGGGGCGAGCCGGCTCTGCCAGGGAAACTTCAAAATGAGCCGAGCAAACACCGGGAGCTTTCTTCAATCTGTCTCTCTTGGCCTATTTCACTCAAACACAGTTGGAAGGTAAGAACAAATTTCAGAATGTCCAAATAATCCTAAAAGCTTCTTACAATAGCTTGCTGCAAAGTCCCTAAAGTCTCAGTATAACAAAATTTATATTGGATGTCAAAACCTAGGAACTGATTTGTAGTTGCATTAAATCTAGTGCGGTCTTGGAACAAAATCCAAGTAACAGACACTTTTTGCTAGCAAGCACACGCAGTATAATTGCCAGATTTTCCCCTCCGATTCCTTTCGAAGTAAAAAGGGCTTTTGACATAAATTTCTGAATGTTTCAATTAATCTTCCTCTGATGGAAGCTGATTAAAATCTTACCCTTGTTAATTAATATACGTGTAAGGTACATTGGGAAGCCGTAATTTAGCATTTTTCATTTTACCGTTTCCAGTAGAGACTCAGGAGAGAAACAGGCATGCCAATGAATAATTTACCCAATTTAGAAACAACTAGTCAAGTTCCAACAAAAGGTTAGTGTGCATTTAAATGGCATAATTTGGAGTTAAGTTAGTGGTTGTGTTTTTCTAAGTTGTAAATGGGTGAGAGCTTTAAAACTTTTGGTGCGTTCACCCAGGACCGTTCATATAATGAACATGGGCATTCCTAAAAAAAACATTCCTGTAGTAGAAACACTCAGGCTGTTACAGCATTTCCTATGTCCTTACTGCTTTCTGTGTTCATGATTAATGTCATATACTTAGACCAGGACTTAAATTCCACATGAGAAAGGGAACAAGAAGCGGAGGAGGGCACTTGAGGTTTGCCAGGCGTTCAAGGCAGAGAAGTTAGAAGTACGTTTGCTTCCAGCGATGAGGTAATTGTCTTGGTACAACCTTGGGTATCTTTAAGAATTTAATTCAGTTTAGTTTTTGATTCCAAAATTGTTTTAAAAATACATGGTAAAAAGATGCAATTGCTTTTATTCAGTTGCCATTCAGGCACCATTCAGTCACGGGCAAGGACAGTTCGTATTTTTACACACAGAGGCTTATAACTCAAGTTGTTCAGACACATGAACAGAGTTTTATGGTTCATAGAATCAGACTAATTAATGGCACTGCATTGCTTCTTTCAACATTTTGTTTTGGAAAAAAGTCTGAAAAAAATCTCACTATTGTGTATATTACAGAACAAAATGCCCATTTTTCATTTTGAAATAGCTTTTTGTTTGAAAATTTTGTTTTGACACTATATGCCTGATCTCTCTATACAGATTTTTTAAATTTGAGGACTAAGCAGGCTCCGTTTTGAACAACAATTTTCTGATCCAAAAAGGCTGAAAAATTATATTAACCTCGTGAGAAAATATTATTTCTAAAACTTCAAATTTCCTGCCCCTTTTCTATATGCAGGACAGTGCATTGACTGTGATCAAGAGAATTTCTCACAGCATGAAATCTGTAAGAATGTAGCAGCAAGGTCCCAGCAGAGCATCAACCAGACGCAGGAGTTTCACTGCGCGATGTGCTGATGAGAGCACAGAGCACGACTGCATTCAACACTGATGAAACATATGATCTGAAGAAATCTAGATTTCAAACTGAATCAGACTCCTTTGAATTCTACATTTTAGAAAAATGACCTTCGTAGTATTTGAACACCTTATGTAAAATTTCATGGTTGGTGCCTGTAAGTAATATTTTGAAATATTTAACACACTTTTCGCTGTGAATACCGATATTAGACTCTTATCTTAGCAAATGGCATTAACAAGGAATAGTCTTTCAGGAAAAAAAAAAAATCCAGCTCAGCAATGAGAAGTTTTAGGGATATTTAGAGTAGGGACAAAATAGAAAGTAACATTTTCTCTGAGGTCTCCCTCCCATCGCGCTGAACCAGTCACTCCGAAACGGCTGCGACAGCAACTGCCCTGTCTCAACTTGGTTGTGCTGGAAAAGTTGCAGACCTTGCCCTTTGGGTCCACGTAGTCACAGATGGTAATTGCTTTAAACATCACCAAGGCAAGCAAACTTCTGTCCTCTGACACACTGGAAGCGATTAAAGACAGGGCCAAGTGGACCAAGATGAGACTATTTGGTCTTGAATTTTGCTTCACCTTTGACTATTACTTGGATTTTGCTCGACATGCCCAATGGTGTGCCGTCCTCCAGCTTATTCCTCCCTTTCTCACTGGTAATGGGACTGAAGGAACTTTTTTCTTTGGAATTGCACCCGTTGGCGTGGCCTTTATTCTCACTGTTTGCTTACTGCTAGTGATGTCAGGAAAGAGGGATATGCTTTGCTTTTTGAATGCATAATTTCCATTGCCTTGCAGATTCACTGGATTTTCCTTCACAGTTGTGACATGCTTTTCATTCCTACAAAGGTAAGTTTTTTCTGACTTTTACATTTTTCCTATTTAGTGTAGTGAAGTATACTTACGCTCTCCTCCCATAGATGAGAGAGGAAAGAGGTATGGATCTCCTGGAAAAGGGAACAGGTATCGCATCTGATGTCTGTTCTAGTGGCTGGGTCCGTTGCAACCACGAGTGAGTCATTTGGTAAATTCTGTTGATAAATACTTCTGAATATGTTTATCCCCACAGACCAAATGAATTTGTTTTTCAGATAATCTAAAAATGCGTTAGGGAGCTGTAATGTTTTGAGCAGGTCTTTGTCCCTGCTGCGAGCGCTGTTGCTCTCCTTTTTCCCTCATGACAGTGACATCTGAGCCTCTCAGTTTTTACCCAGCTCCAGATAGGGAGCTGCAGCATCTGCAGAATAGCCACAGCGTTTATAAACAACATATCAGCTACCTTTACTGGCACATCTAGGCCCTGAGAGGCGTACTACATACTTCCTATTGCAAACTAAGCAAAACAAATACTTTATTTTTAAATTGCATAAAGAGTAGCCTTGCTCAGGCAAATCCGTTCTACCCTTTCCAGTTCACAAAGTGGCTCATGCTTTGATGCCATGAATTGACAAAAAGGCTTCGGTCCATCCAAATGCAGAACCTGCTGTTTGTATCCATTCAGTTACAAACCAATGAAGTAAAAGCTGATTGCAAAATCCCAGTCACTGCAGAGGCATTCGCGAGATACTGACATTGTGCAGCCAAAGCAATGCTGAACCTGCTCTGTACTTTGAAAACCAGACTCTCCTAAAGTCATTCCCAGCTGTCCTAACAGAAGTGGACCCATTGCTGAATGAATACAAGGATTACCTCCATCTGCTCATTGGCTTTCCAGGTGATACAAAGTAAATATTCTGGAAAGAAAAACCAAAAAACAAAAACCCCAAAGTTGCTCTGTGTTAGCGAGTTTCAGCACATAAGGCATTAACCTTTCAGAAACGTCGACTGCTCTGTCCAGCTAGAAGTGATTAAAGCAATGGTATTGTCCTTCCAGCATGCAGCACTAGATCGCCATCTCTACCATTGCTGGCTTCACGCAGGGACGGTAATTTAGAACAGAAGTTCAGATGCAGCTTGACTGAATAGTGTTTGAGGAAAAAGATTATCCCTTGAATATCTCATCCAAAATTTGCAGTTCAGTTTTACACTTGTGAGACATTGCAAATTCCCTTTGCATTTTGGAGTGGAGTTGATACATATAATTCACTGAGGCGAGTACTCTTTTGTGAAGAGCTGGCCACCTTGCAGCCCTGCAGCCAACCAAGTTTGTTCAACCTGCAAGAGTGGCGTGAGTCTCTCCAAAACCTCAGACTGACTGTGCAGTAGGTATATCGGTCACACCATGAGCGCCACTTTGGCTGTATTCAGGCTGCACAGAGTCTCCGAGATAACTAAGAAGCAAACAAAGCCAACTGCTCTTGGTGTTAGTCACTGATGAAGAGGTAAGAAAGAGAGATATTGTGAAAAATGCACTGACTTCTCTGTGTGCTCCCCAGATAAACATATTTGTGTTTATTCAAAGGCAGCAGCCTCTGAACCTCTCTCACCCAGCATGAGTTTAATGAACCTGGTGATAGCTGCCAACCATTGGTGCTATCTTCTAGCTTTGGCAATACGTGGACTTCGTTGGCCTGCAAACAGGGCCCCCTGGCCTGAAGAAGTCAACAGGCATTTTTATTTCTTCATATTGCTGACCTCCCAGGTATGCAACAACGCTGTCTCGAGAGCCAAACTCTTTCAGGAAATCTCTCTCTCATATTTCTGAAGCGTTTAGCCATGTAGTCCTTATGATGAGAGATATGGCTTCCCTGAACTTCGGCAATAACGAATTTCAGCCGTCTCCTTTGAACCTGGCTTCCCTGACTGTAAAATCAGGGAAGTGGACCAAAAGGCTTTGAAGTATGTGTTAATTTTCAGGCCGAAAAAGCGTGCTTCAGTGTCTGCTAGGCCAGCCTCTACATAGTATCCCATGATACTAGCTACCTTGTCAAAGGTGTCCCCTTGGGGAAACTGGGGGGGGGAGGAAGTAGAGAAGAAAGAAGGAGGGGAGAGAAAAAACGCCACAATGTCTTTTTTTTTTTTCTTTAAATAGTTATGTGCATTTTTCTTAAGATTTAACTTTAGCAGCAAATTCTGCTTTTGTCATATGTAGACACTGGCATGTTTGGAAGGAAGACATAGAATTTGATTTCTTGAACTACATTTACAATAGTTATTTTCTTTGTACAGTGGTATTTTCATGAAAGGACAGAGATTAAGAGGTTTGATTTTATTTAGATTTTATTGATTAGTGGTCCACAGAGAAAAGGGAGGAATCAATGTTTTTTGTTCAACATGATTGAAGCTATAGAGCAGAGTACTATTTATGTACAAAAAAAGTCAAGCAGAAGTGGTCTTTTGTAATAGAAATCAATATAGAATGGTAATTCAGAAACAGTCTTCGGAGAAAAAAATTTGTTTGGATTCTCATTCGTTGAAGTTGACTGCGTTTGCAAAATAAAATTTATTTTGTGACAGTGATGGGTGAAATTGCTCGTTGCCAGATCCAGTGCTTGATGTAGTCCACCAAAGTCTTTCCAGAGAAGACAGATTAGCGAGTG